ATAAATAGCCTTATGTATCTTGCAAACATGTGTAGGATGGTCTTTATCAAGAAAGCCAGGTGGTTGGGCCATGTACACTTCATCTGCCAAAGTTCCTTATAGAAAAGCATTGTTGACATCAAGTTGTTGTAAAGGCCATTCATGTTTCAATGCAATACACAGAACTGTACGAATTGTGGTAAGTTTTATGACAAGACTGAAGGTTTCCTTGAAATCTGTTCCAGGTTGATAGTGGAAGCCTTTGGCCACTAATTTGGCCTTGAATCTATCAATGCTGGGATCAACTTTCCTCTTGACTTGGAAAATCCATTTGTTACCAGTTACATTCTGGGAGGCATTGCGTGGAACTGAAGACCAAGTGCTATTTTTTACCAACGTGTTGAACTCAACAGCCATGGCATCCATCCATTTTTGTATTTGAACAGCTTGGCTTATAAGAGATTCTAATCATGGAGGAAGGGTTTGTTTAGTAGCAAGGTAGGCCTGTTTAGGTTTAAATATATTGTTCTAAGACCTGGTGGTCATGTTATGGGTTCTAAAAGGTTAGATGGGGAAGCTGAGATAAAAGGCTCAAATGAGATTGTAGTGTATGTATGTGTGTGTGTGTGTTTGAGGTCTAAGTGACACTTGAAGGAGACAATGCTTCATTACTTGATAAAGGATCTACTGGTGGGGCTTCATTAATGGTGATTGATGGCTAAATAGTCGCAATAGAACAAGAGGTAGAAAAGCAAAGCAAAAATGTTATAGCTGGAGCAATGGATTGTATTGGTATGGGAGTGGTTCGCAGTTGGGTAATATTATTGCTCAGTTTGGCATATGGAAGCAAAGACTCAACAAATCTGACATGTCTGGACACAAACAACTTATTGAAAGATAAATCCATGCATTTGTAAACACTTTGATTAACAGAGTAACCAAGAAAAACACATGGTCTTGACTTAGGCTGAATCAAGTATGGTTTAAGCCATGGATAACAAAGGCAACCAATGGTTTTTAGTTTAGAATAGTTAGGTGGGTTGTGAAATAGCACTTCATATAAGGATTTATTTCGTAGGTTTGGTGTAGCCATTCAGTTGATAAGATACAGAGCAGTTTGGGAGGTATGAGACCAATAATTAGGAGACAAGGATGCTTGATGAAAAAGTGTCAGACTAGTCTCAACAATGTGTCTATATTTTCTCTCTAAGATTCCATTGTGCTTTGGTGTGTGTAGTGGTTTGTTAAAATGTGTAATGCCATAGAAGCAAGGAAAGGTGATAAAGCTTTGTATTCCCCGCCATTGTCACAATACATAGATAAGATGGAAGCGTTAAACTGTTTTTCACTAATGCTTTAAATGAAGGAAATATTTTGACAACATCAGATTTGTGTCAAAAACAACCATGTGAACCTTGAATAATGATCAACAAAGATGATATAATAATGAAAACCATTAGTTGATCTAATGCAAGGACTACCCTAGACATTAGTGAACAAAATCTATAATGGTTTATTGCTAATCAAACTTCAATCATTGAAAGGGAGTTTATGACTTGTTACAGAAACATGAATTACATTTAGAAACTTTGATGGAAGTGTCTTACTCTAATGCAAAAGATTTTAGCATAATATTCAAGATCTTAGAGGATGGGTGTCCTAATCTATCAATTGTTGTTTTTGAACTAAGTAAGGCTAATTTTGGCTTATTTAATGTGGTTAAAGGAGCTGGAGAACTACTAGGTGCAGACAATTCATAAATACTATTTTTGTTGTATCATCTCATCAGTGTTGCCCCAGTGGCTAAATCCATCACAACTAAATAGTATGGAAAGAATTAAACAGATACTTGCTTAGATTTGCAAAGTTTTGAGACTGAAATTAGATTCTTTTGCATTTGAAGTACATTTAAGGAATTAGAAAGAATCAAAGGTTTTTGTGGTGTAGTGATTTATGTGGAACCAGTATGTGTAAGGTTAAACCTGAGCCATTTCCAACCAACATTTCATCAGGACCTCCATAATCAAAATAGAGACAAATTTTTGAAGTCAGTGGTAATATGATGTAAAGCACCAGAGTCCATTACCTAACTCTGACTATTTATTCGCTGACACTTAAGCAAGGTTTGCAACTGATTTCTGCACTGGTGAAACTTTGTAATTCTTGTAAACCTCGGCATTGTGACCCAATTTCCCGCATAGCTAAAATGTTGGTCTATTGTTGCTTGTATTGACATTGAATTGGTTAAATTTTTTCTGAGCAAAACTATAATTGATTTATTACCTTTCCTGCTGTTTGTATTCAAAACTTTTCCTTTCTTTGCCATGTTGATTGTCATTGTTCGTGCTTTTAAGAGTTCTTCTTACTTGATCACTATTTCAAAGTTACTGAGTTTATTAAGCAATTCCTCTAGGGATATTGCACTTTCTCTTGCTTTTATTGTTGTTAAAAATTTCTCTGAATTCCAACCCAAGTCCATCGCGAATGAAGATTGCTAGGTCATTTTCTATTATTGATGCCTTTGCCAGAGCTAGCTTATCTACAATACTTTTCATTACTTGCATATATTCGAACACTGATTTGTCTCTTTCTGTATACCAAGACAGTTTTTTCTTAACACCTCCTGATTCGAGTAATGTCGACCTTATCCATCTTTTCTCCACTCAAAGTAGCTTGTAAGTAGGATTTTTGTCTTCCTACCACCCCCTATCCCCCGTTAAACCTTTCCTCAACTCCCTTTGCAACAGACCATGAAGGCTTTTATCCTGCCTTGGCGACTGTCCCACACTCTACTCTTCCCATGTTCCTCATTCGTCGTAACTCTTTTCCAAAATGTCGATCTTGCATTGAATCTGGCCATATTAACCCCAATCTTGTAGTCCTTAATCGACGATCCATTCGAATTGTACACCACCTTCTTTGCCTCAACAAGTTTCTCAAAATGTACAAACCCGTATTTCCTGCCTCTTGCACTCATTTTTTTATGGAATGAAGACATCCACCACCTTTCCGTACTCCTAAAACTTTTGTGACAGCCATCTCCAATGTGTTTGTGGAGGAATATTATTTACGAAAACTGTGAAAATCACCCTTCTCTTGAAATTCAAATCTCTCGCAACAATATTGAAAGATATCAGTAAACCAAGTCAAAAACAAAAAGAGTTTTCTTGTTAAGGCTTCTTTATCTTTGCCGAACAAGTTTAAAATCTATGTCAATAACATAGCATACTACTAAAGATAAGTCCTAGTGGCCATAATTGATGATTTGAAGCCAAGTGTTAATTTTGGGATTAATTGAAAGGTTAATTGAATGGCATTTGTTATTCAATTATCCTCGCATAATTTTTTTTTAATCTTTTGACTTTGAGATAATTTTTCATTTTCTCTTAAAACAAAAATAGAAAAATATAAGAAAAAGAAAAAAAATTGAAAATGAAAAGAAAATGAAAATTGTGATTTTTTTGCTTGTATATTTATTAAATTTTCATTTCATTTTCTTAGAAAAATATTTTTTCAAAAAAAGGTTACAAAAAAGGAAGGAAAATTTTTTAAAAAAAGAGATAAATGAGATTTTTTTTTTCCTTTTTTCCTAAATGAATATTTGCAAGAAAAATTCTAAAAATATAGAAAGCATAAAATACCATTAATCACCAATAAATTAATCATCATCGAAAATAAAAATAATAGTAATAAATATACTTAAATTTGTCTTTAAGTTAGGACTATCAAATTAAAGCGTTCAATTAATTGTCAAGAAAAAAATATTAAAACATAAAGGTTTTCATTTATTATTTGTAATAAATAAAAGATAAAAATTTTAAAAATATATAATGATAAATAAAAATATAAAATACATTAAAAATCAAAATTATATCCTTAAGAATCATGACTTTTTTATTTTTCTTATTTTTCTTTGTTTTCACAAAAAAAAAGTTTATAACATACGATAAATTAAAAAAGTCATATAATTGATCAAATAATAAGAAAATAACATAATACTCGTAGCATAGCACGAAAAGTCAATAACAAAAATAATAATCATAACATATTAAATATTATATTTTTAAACTTTTAATATTTTTATAATATTTTGTGTGTATCAAAATTTTTTATTTTTTGTTAAAATAACAATAAATATAATAAAAATAAAAAAATTGACAAAACATACCAACCAAGCATAGCGGGAGCCAAATTCTAGGACTTATTAAATCATTAATTTATAAAGAAAAAAAAATAATTTACTTGAATTCCTATTATATTATGTATAAAACACAATCTTATATATTTACCATATATAACCATGATGTTTTGAAAATTATACAAACATGCACAATCATTCTCAATATATATAACCTAGCAAACTAATATACCACAAATATATCATTCAATTTAACATGCTGATTTCAAAATCCAACATTTATATTGATAATATTATTAAATATAAACAATATATATTAATGTAAGTAATATGTTTATATATTTTTTAAACCTTTTCAAAGTCAAACATGTATCTAACCAATTTACCATGATGTTGATTTCATAAATCAAGACTGTCATTTATATTTATTATTATTAATTAAAGTAAAAGTTACCTCTCAAATACGGCATCATATACATACAAATGAGTCAAATGACAGTTTTATGAATCTGCCTTCTCAATTTAGCATGATGCTGATTTCATAAATCAAGACTGTCATTTATATTTATTATTATTAATTAAAGTAAAAGTTACCTCTCAAATACGGTATCATATACATACAAATGAGTCCAATCACAGTTATATGAATCTCCCTTCCACTTTGTTTTTTCCAATTCAAACATGCATGTATCAATCTTTCTCAATAGATGTAGACAGCCAAACATAAGACCAAGTCATTCGTTGAATGCTTTGCTCTTGTTGACTTGAAAATTTCATATTGTGGAATGCAATAATCTTCAGACGTCTTTGATTAATCTTCATCCACCAAATGTCAAGATTTTCTGTGTATAAAAAAGGTACAACTGACAATTATTCTCCATCACCCCATTGCCTTGGCCTCCGCTTCATTTGCCAGATTTAATCACGTTTTGCCAAATGGCTTTAACCCAGTCCTCTCACGTAAAGATGGTGATGGTTCTATTAGCCATAATGGTTCTCATGTCATCAGCTGTTGCTGTTACCCCTCAGGATTTGATCTTGAAACCTCTCAATTTCGGTAAGTTCTTTTTCTCTTACAGGCATAGCAGCTTCCAAGTTATAGACAAATTGCAGTGTTTTAATTAAACATGTTTGGTTTGATCGTGATCATGTTGCAGGTCGGAAGCTTCTGGATTATTATAGCCCTCCCACCTCATACCCTGATATACCAAGTGGAGGGGGAGGCCAACCATGCTGTAAATAAGAAGATATAACTCTGAAAACGATTTGAGAAGAAAAAGAATGAAAGGAACAAGGGCAAAAGACATTACTGTTAGAGAAAAATGTTCTTTAATTTGATTTTAAGAGAATAAATATGGTTTGGAAAAGTATAAGGCAATAAATTGAATCGCACAGACCAAATTAGTATTTGTAACTATATATCCATCCCATTTATTCTGTACTCTAGAGCTGTGTTAAGTGTTAAACAAGATATGTCTGCTTTTTTTCTTGACCATATTGTATTAATCAAATGCTTTCATATACGTTTCAAAGCTTAATTGGTGTGAGATCCTTTAATTTATTGAGTTTTATAAAATGGTATATGCAATAATTGAGATGACTACTTAAGACAAAGGATTATCATCCTCCTCAAGGACTGGAAGTTTTGGCTGTCAAATGCTATTCTTTCAGGTTTTTTTTTTTTTTTTAATCAACCCATTGACATAGCAGTTATGAACTTTAAAAGAACCAGTCTCTGAAGAAGTTTGAGGTTCTGTTAAAAGACTCACTGAAGCCGTAAGTTTTTCGTTCTTACATTTGTTTCTATTTATAACAGACTATAAACGTTGTTCTTCGACTGATATTAAAAGCGAGTTATCAAATATAATAAACACATGTAAGTATGCTTGACTATTTGAGCTAACTTTGCTGCATTGATTTTGTGTGCCGTTGGATGATTTGAATTCTAACCGTTGCTTGATTCTTCGCTCGATTTTCTCCAATACTCCCCCTCAAACTAGGCCTAGGTGAAACTCTAAGGCCAAATTTGGTCTGGAAAGCATCAAAAGTGGGCCTTGCTAATGGTTTGGTGAATATGTCTACTACTTGCTTAGAAGATGCAATAAAGCGTGTTAAAAGTTAGCCAATAGTAATCTTTTTTCGAATAAAATGATAGTTTATCTCACATGGTTAGTGCGAGCATGAAAGACTGGATTGATGTTATCTGGAAAGCTAAAATATTATTACAGAACAGAATTGGAGCTTGAGGTATGCAAGGCCTATGTCACGTGTAGAATGAAAGAAAGCCAAGTCAATTCTGCTGTAGCGTAACCTAAGGCTAGGTATTCTGCTTCAGCACTGGAACGTGCCATAGTGGGTTGTTTCTTGGCACTCTAGGAAATACAATTTCCTCTTACAAGGTTCTGAATCCCGTGATGAATCGTCGAGTGAGATAGCAACCTATCCAATCTACATCTGAAAATGCATTTAACACCAATGGATTGTTAGAGTGTAATTTAATAGCAAGAGTAGTTTTTCCAGCGACATAGCGAAGTATTCGTCTAACAAGTTGGTAATGAAAGTTAGTAGGACGATGCTTGTATTGACAAGCATAATTCACACTATAAGATATATTAGGGGATGTGAAAGTATGGTATCGCAATCCTCTCACAATACTACGATAAAGTTGCAGATCCTTGAATGGCTTATCATTGGCTGGTGGTGCTAACTTTGTAACCATAGGAGTTGAGACTGGCTTGCGACCTGCCATTTGAGCATGATCTAGCAATTGTGTGGCATATTTTGCTTAATTAAGAAAGAGACCATCACTCATTCTTTGGTCCTTGAACCAAGAAAATAATGAAGTGGTCCTAAATCCTGCATTGCAAATTCCTTGCTAAAGCAATCAATAAACCCTGTTAGAAATTCGAAGCTATCACCGGTAAGGATTATATCATCCACATAAAGTAACACTAAAATTATTCCATGATTATTACGATGAATAAATAATGAAGAATCTGAGAAGCTACAAATAAATCCCATATGTAAGCACCAATTTTGTCTTAAATATAATTTTTTTATATTATTGTTATTATTATTAATTAATTAATTCTTAAAAATAAGAAAAAAAGTAAAAGAAAAAAGTCTTTTGATTTCAATTTTGGCAACTGAAATCAAGTTGCCAGAGTGATTTTTTCTTCTTGACACTGCCTAACTTGGTAGCATAAAATTCGGTAACCAAAAGTCATCAACAAGATTTAAAATTTTTCACACAAAAATCCCAGGAGATCTAGGATTTGAATCCCAGAAGCTCTATAAATAGAGCAAATTTCTACAAAAAAAGGACACAGTGAACCAAGGGAGAGAAAATGAAAAAAAAAAACAACAAGGGGAAACCTAGGGTTATGCAAAAACAAAAACAAGAACAATCACATCCTCTTTGACAGAGAAACCAGAGGCAAACACAAAAAAAAAAAAAAATAGAAAAACCCCTGAGAATGAAATTCTCAATCTAGGAGGTTTAAGATTTTTTTTTTTTTTTGAAAAATCTGGCTTGGAAAAAGGATTAATTTGGAATTTTTTTGGAAATTTTTGAAAAAAATTTTGGGTTGTCAAAAATTGAAAAAGTTTGAATTTTTTTATGACCATTACATTTTTTTATTGGAATTTGGGTTCATCATCGGAATTTGAGAAAATTTGAAATTTTCAGTGCCATTAAAGATTTTGGCCACCGATGCACAGCGACGATAGGCTGGAATCTAAGTTGCCACGGTGTTCTGCAAGAAGGGTTGGGTTTTATGAAAAAAAGGCTTTGGGGTAAAGAAAAGGGAAAGAAAAAAAAAAAAAAAAAACTAAAACAAGCCTTTTATAGGCACTTTAGAATAACATTGTTTTGGGTGTCTGAACAGTGCTTCACCCGTACAGGATTTGTACATCAACCCACACACCAACCCAACCCGTTTCACAGGTTTTTCCTTTTCTTTTTCATTTTATTTTTTATTTTGATTTTGATTTTATTTATTTTATGTTGATTTTTTTATTTTTTATAATATTATTGTTATTATTATTATTGTTATTTTATATTATTACTAGTAATAATTTTTTTAGAAATAAATAAATAAAATAAAAATAAAATAAAATATGGACCTAAAAAATATAATATGCAAAAAAAAATTAATAATAATAACTATTTAAGGAAAATAAAATTTTATTACAAGCAAAAATGTTTATTTCAATTTCACTAAAGTGTTGGGATAATTTAAAATATAATTTTTGCTAAAAAATAAAATAAAAAATGATAAATAAAATAAAAAAATAATAAGTTGTTTAAATGAATCTTTTAAATGAAAATTTTAAAGAAAGCTGAAAGAGTTTGATTTTCTTTAATTATTGTAAGTAAAAATAATTTTTCTGATTTCACCATAGAGTTGGAATAATCCAAAATTATTTTTACTAGAATAAAGGTTTATTTAAATAATTTAAAAATAAAAATAATAGTAATTGATATTTTGAATAATTTAAAAAAATATTTTTTTAAAGAAAATTGAAAAAGTTTGATTTTCTTTAATACAAGTAAAAAATAAATATTTAAATTTCATGAGTGAGTTAGGATATTCTAAATGTTTTTTAAATAATATGATAAAAAAAGATAAAAACAATAAACAATAATAACAAAAAAAACACAATAAGAATTAATTAATTAAATCCATTAATTAAAAAATTATTTTTATTTAGGATCTCATCAAAATGTTGAAATGATCTTAAAACTTGTTCAAAATTTTTAGGATTTCACCGAATAGTCGGTATAATATTAAAATTTATTTAATAGATTTTAAGAATTCACCAAAGAGTTAGGATATTCCTAAAATCATCTTATGTTATAAATAAAATACTTATGATGAGATTTCGAGAATTTTGTGAATGGTTAATATTTTCAAAATATTTTCTTAATAAAGATTTTTTATAAATTTTGCCAAAGCATTGGAGAATTTATAGAATATAGAAATAATAATAATACTAATTTCACAACAAAAAAATTTTTTTTTCATAAATAAATTTTAGGAAATTAAATTTAAATATATAAAAAAGTCCACATTATCAAAATTATAAGATTACACATGTTTAATTGGTATTGTTCTTCAAACAAGCGATGTGAGGGCGTTAATACTTTTCTTACTCGTAACCTTACTCTTAGACTTAACCCTGATTTCATAGTCTTAAACTTCTTTTAATAAATCTTAATTAATTTTAAGATTTTTATTAAAAGATGATATTTTTGGGTAGCCAATCACACTTAACAAATAAATTAGTGGCAATTCCAAAAATTTTTACCAAGTCTACCAAACGAGGCCCCCTAGATGAAAAATTATTATGACAGCTTGACGACTCTACTGGAGACATTTGAGAGTCAAGCCAAAATATTAAACATGCATCATCCAAATTTTGATTTTATGGTCTTTTTGATATTTAATTTTAATTTCTTATCTCATCTTAGAATAAAAAAAAGTAAAAATTTTTTTTTAATGGTTTCATTTAGTTTTGTTATGTTATTATACTTATTTTATATTGTTGCTAATTATATTGTTAATTTTATTAATAATTGTTACATTCCCTCACATATGTGCACATTTGCATTCATGCATGAACTCTATACCCGAGCTCCCAAATCTATCTTTTTTTAGGAAAGAGTAGAGTACCTAGCCTTTCGTGAGGTTATAATGCCTCCATTTGGGCTAGCAAAATACTTCCACTCAAGTTGAACCCTTTCTATCAGCAACCCGTTATGGGTGAATATCTAGGGCCTTACTAGTCCAAAGTGGATTACAGTAAGGATCAATTTGGAAACCTTTTTAGCCTATGTTAATTACCAAACCATGCATATAATGAACCTTAAGAAACCAACCTTAGATAGGGCCATAACATTTTTGTAAATTATACTCTAAATTAGGACACATGAACGAATACTTATTATAATATGATTACTAATCGCATTTTGTTTTGCTCTCCTTTTGTTTAATGATCATGCATCATCATAAACACTTGCATATGAGATGTGCTTGTCAATATGCCAATATCAGTAAAAAAAATTTCAGTCTTGTTTCGAAAACACCATCATGATGTTCTCAGCTTTAAAGCTCACCATGTGTGAAAAGACCAATGTAGTGATAACTATCATTAGAACCCAAAGTAGAATGATAAACTATCTAAAAGAATTTGAACAAGAAATTTTGCCAGAAGAAATCAAATTGGGACTTAAGCAAAATAACATCTTTGAGTTGGTCAAGATTTGGCGCTGTGTAACAACTCTTAGAAAGATGGCTTTCGAGGAAAAATATGGCCATATTACTTCACTCTTTGAGATGTCAATGGAAAATCAATTAATAAGAGCTTTAGTTCAATTTTGGGACCTTGCATATAGATGTTTCATATTTAATGAAATAGATATGACCTTGATGATCAAGGAGTATACTATATTGCTATGGTTACATCTTCCCAATCTAGATAAAATCTATTAGCGAAGTCAAAAACTTGGGTCTTAAAAGAAACTTACCTATATGATGGAGGTTCCTACTCAGAATGTGAACTCATATGTCCAAACAAAAGGCAAAAGTGATTACATCCCATAAGGAATCTTACGTGATTACATTGTCAAACACTTAGAGGATGAACAAGGCATGAGAATGGTAACTTTGGCAATTTATAGGTTGATCATTTTCCTAAAGGTCTTGGGGCACATTGAGTTATCAGTAATTGACTTCCTCGAGCAAATGGACAATGAAATCAATCATATTCTTCTATGCTAGCAAAAAATTTTAGATCATTGAATCACCATTGAAGAAAGGGGGACACTTCATAGGATGTGCACAGTTGCTCTACATTTGGGCCAAAAGTCATCTTCAACATCCTGTGGTCAAATTTCATCCTACTTATAGCGATAAAAGTAGGCCAATTGAAGAATGCTACAATATTGAGTGGCCATAATCAAAGAACATAGAAAATTGGGTATTAATTTTGTAAAATCTCACCAGTACTCAAGTTATATGGAAAGCTCCATGGATGCCATGAGAAGCCATGTTGTACAAGTGTGGTAACAAGCCATGGGTCCCACTCTTAGGATCGTGTAGAGTTATAAGCTATGCTCCAACAATGGTTTATTGACAGTTAGGATCAAAGTAATTCATTCTGATGACTCATAGGCTTTGAGAATTAGAATTCTCTTTCGAGGAGCTAGGATTTCTAAGAAAGGTGAAAAAGATTATCAAATAATGAAAGTAAACCCGAAAAAAAGATCATGGGGGATATACAGACAAAGCTACTCTTAAATATCTGATATGGAAAAGTCAACGTGTCACTAGCAAAGTTGCTCATAAAAAAGACAGATTATACCACTAAGAACATACCCATTATGAAAAGATCCTTGAAGACATGAAGATTATGAAGCATAAATTTGAAGAAGAAAAAGAAATATAAGAGCTTGAAAAGAAGAGGCTTCAGTATGAGATTAATGAGTGGAAAGATAAGACTAATAAGAGTGAAGCAAAATCTCAAAGGCTTGAAAAAAAATAAGAAGAGATTTTTGAAAGCTAGCATAGGTTCATCACTTCAATGACCACAAAGCTTGAAAAATTCATAACGAATGCAAAACAACTTTGATCCAATTTATTGTCTAAAGAAAAAAAGCTTAGTTAGTCTATGAAAGAAAAAAAGACACTACAAAGTCTTGTAAAGGACTTGAAACAGCAAATGCACTATCAATGTGAAGCCATTCAA